TCCTGTAAGGCCCAGAATTTGCCTTCATTAGATCAGACAGCTTGTGGCCTTCGCTCTAACCCCTCCCCTGCCTTTCAAATGTGGACGCTGGAAGTGCTTTGAAGATGCCTTGAGATGCTATGCAATCTGGAAGAGCGAGCGCCAATTGCATGTGGCTTGGTCTTCTTCAGGAAAGCCCGAGCTGGTGCAGCATTGTGGCTTTGTCATTAATGCATGCAGAAGAGGGCAGCTTCACTTCTCTGTCCAGGAAAGATCTCCTGGTGACCGGGGTCGGAGCTGGGAGAGTTACACGGGGTTCTTTTGATTCCAAAATTAAAGCTGGGTAACATGAAATAGTGGTCCACCGTTCCTGAATCTTGCCCTCATCAGATCAACTCTCTCAGTATGATTTGGTTATAACTGATGCAGACAGGAGTAAAACAATTCATGCTGTTGCTGAGGGTGCTGAAATTTGTTTTTTAGAACTTCACATCCTGTACTGCAAGTAGTGTGGGGTTTTTTTTCCACCACATGTGGAGGTTTGTCACTTTTCCAGAAAAGGGTTCAGACTCTCTGGGGACAGCTTATAAAAATATACAGGAAGATCAGGTGGATGCACAGGCCCGTGTGTGTGTGTCAAGGTGAGGTGGTGCAAGGCCTGGGACGTGCCAGCAGCCACAGCACACGCCCACCTGCTGACTAACAGCCCAGCGTCTTGACAGAGGTAGGAGTGTCTCTGGTGATTCAGGTGCAATGACGGGTGCCTGACGCGCTCCAAGACGAGAGTCACCACTCGCGAAGCTGAGGCGTGTGCATACTAAACACATGCTGAAGTGGGTTTTGCCTGTGAGCCATCAGGTTTCAGAGGCTACACTGCTGAGAGGTGGCAGATGAGTTCCAATTGGGAATTTCCTTGGTGTTCTTACTGTCTTAAAAACCATCCAGTAGGAATTCTACCGCCTGTGCCTTCAGATGTGGGATGAAAGAGGCAGAAGGGGATTTTGGCCTCAATTTCTTACTTAAAACAGTTGAGTACCAGTGAATGACCAAGAGGAAGTGGCTCTCTGTGAATGACTGACTGTGTGAAGCGTAGGCGGACCCCACTCTGTGACACTGTTGTTTCCTGTTTCCTTTCTCACCCTCCTTGGCCCATCCTGTCCAGAAATACCAGCTAATCCCGAGGAGTGAACTACAGACACTGACCAGCCCCTATAGGAATACTTTGGACTCACATTTTATATTATCATCTTGAATACACAACACGTAAAACTCAGTTTCACATCCATACGCTTATTTCTTACAGTATATTCTGTGTGTCATTCACCTTTTAAAAAATCTTGGTTGTTGCTTCCTAACTGAGATGCAGTTTTAAAATCTCCTAGAGGGTAAAGTGTGACTTGTGTCGTGATCTCTGCACCATTTTCTGGGATTCACTGTCATGGCCTGTCCTCTTGGGGATCTTCTGCATGTCTGCCCTTTCCAGTTGTCATTCTTCCATGGAGTGAACACAGGGGGTAGGAAATGCAGTTGATTTGGAAAGCCATGGTGTTGGTAAGGAGGTTTCACAGCTGGTTGGGTGCACTGTGGCATGCTATCATTGCATACATGGGCCTAAGTGGATGTGAGTCAGGGTTACTTGAAGACAGATCTCTGGCATAAGGCCAGGGCCTCTGCTGTGAGGCTGTGCCATAGACTGAACTGTCTAACTATCCTGGCCTGTGTGGGCTGTTGACTGAAGAGCCTGTGTTACCAGCCTCTTGGAAGCTGAGGAGACTAATGTGCCAGCTCTCAGGGGAGAAAGCCTAGTTCTCCAGGAAGTATCTTACATACACGCACTGAGGCAGAATGAAATGGAAAGTAGATGGCAGCTAGTGGTGATGTGGACCTCATCTGAGGGCAAACCTGGCTGGTGTCATGGCGACATGGACCTCATCTGAGGGGACACCTAGCTAACGCTTAATTTCTCCCCAGTGACCACCCTCAGGATGGTTCTTTGCACCGATACTTCACACCTACTAGGTGTCAGGTGCTACCCTATCATGCTGAAGGTAGTGTGTCTACAGTATCTTGCTGGAGTTTATGGTCTAATTGAGGGGTGCTGTTTAAATGAAAATTAGTGAGAACATGCTTGGGGGGCTGGAGTGTTCCAATTCAGACAACTCAGAGAGAAGGAGGTCTGTAGAATTTAGGATGAGAATTTGTAGGGAAGGTAGGGTATGGAAGGCCCTAAGACTGTTGTGGGAATGACCAGAGTGTATGAAGTACCAGACAGGATTGTGTTTTGGGGGGGAAAATTGCTTTTACCAAACACTAAGGGATGTACGGGGCCACCTCTGGGTTCACAGCCCAGCTCCCCAGGTACTAGGCCACCAAAGAGCCCTTAAGGATGCCATGAATTACCTGAAAAAGTGTATCTTGGGGCATGTGCGGATTAAGTGTTGGGATGCATAATGAAAGGTCAGTGGTTTAAATCCACCAGCTGCTCTGTGAGAGAATGATGAAACATTCTGCTTCCTTAAAAATTTACAACCTTGGAAACTTGCTGGGGCAGTTCCACTCTGCGCTACTGAGTCACTAAGAGCTGTAATCTATTTGAGGGCAATGGGTTGGGTATACCTCTCTGAATCATAAAATAGACATAAACCTGTCACTAGCAAGGAGCCTCTGAAGGGGTGTAAAGAGCTCAGTTAGGGTAGTGGTGGCGGTTGTTACGTACAGTCACAGAACAGACGCATAGTTGACCCTCCAGCCAGTTTTCAGAGGCAGGAAATCACATAGGAAGAGAATGCCCATCTTTCTTCCACAGAGCAGCTGGTGGATTTGAACTGTGTGCCTCCAGGTTAACACTGCATCTCCTCACCATGAGGCTGCTAGAGATCTGAGTCCTAGTCCTTCTGCCTAGAATGGGGCTGCACTGGTCTATGTGCCAAGAGATGATGACATGCATGGGCGGGAAGAAGCAATGTGTGAGAAGAAACAATCCAGAGTATTAAATAGCTGGAAGCAGATACATGATGGCACAGATAAAGAGAAAATGGGAATAGCAGGATGAGGTGAGAGGTAGGAGAATGGGTTAAAAATGACCTATCAGTATTCCCTGTGTGCTGAGTAAAAACCTACCTCTGTGTGTATGTCCATTTAACCTGGATGAAGACTTTCAGGAGTATCATCCTAGCTTTTCAGGTTGCTGGTAGACGCATAAATGACTAAGTCAGCATTGGTACCCATACTGCTGCCTATGGAGACGGTGCCTGTTGGCGAAATTCTATTGCCTCCTAGTTTTTGGTTTTGCACATGTAAAGTCTGAGATGCCTGATGCATTTCCAAATGAAAAATCATAGAAAGAACAGTTATCTGTTTGAGAATTATCTATGTTTCATTTTTTTGAGGCTAGTGAAAAGAAATTTGATTAGAGAAAGACACTACCCATTGCTGGTCCCCGCCCCCAGCTGGTTTTCAGAGGTGCTTAGTAGCATGGAAGGAGATTGCCCATCCTTGTCCCACAGATATGCTGGTGGATTTGAACTGTGTGCCTTCAAGATTGTAGTGCAGCTTCAGAACCACTAACCCACCAGAATTCCTTCTGTGTGAATGTTGTTGTTGAGTACCATCGAGTCGGAACCGACCTCTAGCTGACCCTCCGCTGGGTTTTCAGAAGCGCAGGAGGAGAGATCTTTCTGTGGAGCTGCTGGTGGATTTGAGCCTCATGCCAGTGCATTTTAGTGCAGCTTCTTACCACTAGGTCACCAGAACGCCCGCTGTGTGTATAGTGTAGCATTTATTTCAAAAGCTTTTACATCACTCCAAATGGAAATTCTGTGCTCATCAAGTTGTCCACCATTTTTTCCCTCTCCTCCAGCCTCTGGTGACCTCTAGTAGACCTTGTCCTCTAGGCATTTGCCTCTTTGAGATACTTCATGTAGGTAGGATCATACAATACTTGCCCTCTGTGTCTCTCTGGCGTATTTTACTGAGCCTAATATGTTGAAGGTCCCTCCATGCCACAGCATATGAGAACTTCATTTCTCTCTTTTCTCCTTTTGAGAATCATGGCTTTCCTCCTTCATTCTATACTTGGATGTAACAAAACAAAATCCAACACTTTTCTTATTCCTGGGGCAAGCTGTAAAGCATTTTGTTTTGTTTTGTTTTAAATTGTTTTTACCTTTCTTTTCATCCAGTATTTGCCTTGAATTATATATCTACTTTCATCCTTACTGTATTCAAGCCAACATACTCTTGTTGATCCAAATATTTGAGAAATTTGAACTTTAAGTATATATAAGATATTAACTTTGGAAACTTTTTTTTTAAGGCTAGGAAAAGAGTCCTTGTATTCTGAATGGAAAAAACAGTACAGTACAGTACAGAGTAATTCTTTTCCCTTCTCTATTAAAAGATAAAATAAATCCACAGCTGACAATTTCACTCTGCTCACTGCATCTCTTTACCGGGTTTCTGGAGTTATCTTTATGGAGGTACCCATCTTTCTCCACTAGAGCAACTGCTGGATTTGAACTGCTTGGCCTTTCAGTTGTTAGTAGCTCAACATCTAATGACTTATGTCCACCAGAGTCCCTAACCTACCTTATGCTCCTCAGAAAATGCAGGCGGCTCTGTCCCCATGACAAATACCAATTTACTCATTTGTCTTTGTCTAGCTCAATCTGCTTGCTTTTAGCTTTTAATGACCTGGGAGGAGTGATAACTAAGCAATCCATTTATTTTCATCTTTTCTATTTGTGAATCCCATAGGTCTTGTTTCCAAGTTCACAATAGGAAGCTTTTGAAGACAGCTGCATGAGGCTGACCACCAAACTCAAGGAAGGATGCCGGTGTGGAAAATCTCTGGGGTGCCACCGTGTACATCCTACACTGTGTTCCTGTGACATAAGCTCCTTTTTTATTTTTAATTACCAGTTGGTATTAAGATGGACATTGGTTCTAAAGAACACACAGTTCTATGGTCTCAACGAAGCAAGGGCCCGTTTCAAACAGATCCTAAATAAAAGTCGACCTGAATGGACATGAAGATGTTTGTTAGTAGCAGGCGAGTTAAAAAATGGCAGTTTGTTCAGATATTTGCCAGTTGTTTCATACTAAGCCTCATGGTTTTTTGGAGCCCGTTTGATAGCCACATTGTGAGCCATATGAAGTCCTACTCTTACAGATACCTCATAAATAGCTATGACTTTGTGAGTGACAGACTGTCCGTTAACCGCAGCTTGGAGGATACTCCCAGCTTCCAGTACTTGATTAACCACGAGGAGAAGTGTCACTCTCAAGACGTCCTCCTCTTACTGTTTATAAAGTCTGCTCCCGAAAACTACGAACGTCGTTCTGCAATTAGGAAAACATGGGGCAACGAGGAGATTGTTCGGTTTCAGTTGAATGCCCACATCAAAACTCTGTTTGCCTTAGGGACGCCTTCTAATCCACTGACGAGTGAACAATTACAAAGAAAACTGGTCAGGGAAGATGAAATGTATGGTGATATAATCCAGCAAGACTTCACTGATTCCTTCTACAATCTTACTCTTAAATTACTTCTGCAGTTCAACTGGGCAAAAACGTTCTGTCCACACGCCAAATTCCTTATGACTGCTGATGATGACATCTTTGTTCACACACCAAATCTGGTTGAATACCTTCAAAGTTTGGCACAAATTGGTGTGCAAGACTTTTGGATTGGTTATGTTCATCGTGGCGCGCCTCCCATCCGCGACAAAAAAAGCAAATACTTCGTGTCCTATGAGATGTACCCGTGGCCAGCTTACCCTGACTATACTTCTGGCTCTGCCTATGTGGTCTCCAGTGATGTGGCTGCCAAAGTCTATGAGGCATCACAGACACTTAACTCTAGTCTTTACATAGACGATGTGTTCATGGGCATCTGTGCCAATAAAATGGGGATAGTACCACAACACCACGTGTTTTTTTCTGGGGAAGGTAAAACACTTTATCATCCGTGCATCTATGATAAAATGATGACATCCCATGGGCATGTACAAGACCTTGAGAAGCTCTGGAAAGATGCCACAGATCCTAAAGTAAAATCAGTTTCGAAAGGGCTCCTTGGTCAGATATATTGCAGACTCATTAGGATAGCACTCCTTTGCAAACTGAGGTATATGAGCACTTACCCTTGTCGGGCTGCGTTTGTTTAATAGGACTTGAATGTTGTCTGTTTTCACTGTCACTGAGCCACCCCTGGGTGAAAAACCTTTAACTGTTTGTCTAGTCCCTCAGTAAAATAAATATGGAAGACAGAGAAGTATTTTGTTCGTTTTTTGTTGTTGTTGTTTTACATTTTCTACTAATTTACAAAATTTGAATATATTGTTTTCAAGAACAAATTCTTTCCATTTCCCTCACACCCCTCCCATCAAATTGTACAACCCCATGATTAATCCCTGCCTCCCCTGCCCACCTTCATCCCTCTGCTTCCAACCTCTCCCACCCCTCTTGGATCCTTATACTCATTCTACAATAAAGGTTTTATACAATATTTATCTTTGTGGGACTGGGTTAGTTCACTCAGCATAATCTCTTCAGTCCCTCCCAAGTTAGGTAATAATTTACAAAGTCATTGCTCCTGTGTGCTGCATAGTATTCCATTGTGTGAATGTACCATAATTTCTCAATCCATTCATTTGTGGTTGGACATCTGGGCTGTTCCATGTTCTTGCGATAGTGATTAATGCTGTTATGAACATTGGTGTATAAATCCCCATTTGTGCCTCAGTTCTCATTTTGGAGAAGTATTTTGAAAAAACTCCCTCAGAATGTTTCTTTGATTCCAGAAACTATTCGGTATAAATTATCTATTTCATTGCCTAAATTTGTTTCAAGCAATTTCTATTTAGGAAATGTTCTATTTTTAAATAACAAAAGAAATGAAGAGAAAGTTAAGTTTTCACTTATAAGGCCAAAGTGTATTTTGTGATGTTAGAAAATACCAGGTTATTTAAAGGTTATCAATTTCAAAGAAATGAATATACTGTTGGACCAGTTATAAAAATTTCTTTTCATGAAGAGTATTTGGCTGTGGTGGCAAGGAGAGAGTGTGTTGGCATAAGAAAAAGTACATGAATCTGAAAGAAGGAAATCTCTTATCATTAAGAGGACATTTAGGGAAATATACGCATTTCATTACAAATAGCCAAATCCTGTGTAGCTATGAAAGCTGAATAGAAATGATAGAAAAACCACCAGAATGAGATGGGAAGTTTTATAGAGCTGCTCAGTCCTTGTGTTCCAAGAGATGTGGCTGAGAGCTAAAAGAGTACTTTCTAGTTATTTTGTAAAGCAGGATTAAAAAAATGTGGCCATGCTGTGAACAACCAGCCCACACAGTGGAGAGATCTAGGTGATGGCTATTGTTAGAGGGATTAGAGAAAGACTCATAGATTGACCGCAGCAGAAATGGCTGACCTGAGGATAAAAACCGTGGGCTACTGAGAGGCCTGTGGGAAGAAGTAAGATGAAAACACAAAGTATACAACTGGATGGCGAGGCTTATAATCTAGCAGGCAGCTTTTTAATGTTTACAGAAACTATTTTGTCTATTTTCTATTTTGCAAACTGAAGCTTATTTACATGGCTGAGATAATTTCGTATTGTTTGATCAATGTAAAAATGATTTGTCCAACATTCCGGGTTATGGTTACTTTCAGGGTCAGTGCAGGGATTTTTTTTTTTTTAGCATTATAGTTTAATTTTTTTAACACTTTTTAAAACTGTAGAGCACTAAGACCCATTTTGATAAGGCTCATTTAAAATTATTCTTTACTAATTGATACTTAAAGGGTCAACTGTCTTGTTTTTGCTAATTATATATAAATATATCCATGTGTCTATTT